AGGTCTATGCAGAAATTCAAGCACGCACGCACGCACCCACCCACACACAAACACACACACACACACAGACCAAAGACAGTACCTCCATTTTTTCATTGAGGTAATAACGTTCTAATGGTATCGATCTTGTAATTTTACAGGCAGTTTTGACCAGCCCGGATTGTACGAAAGACCAAAGGTACAACTTCAACAAGGCTTCATCGGGTCAGTTTTCACCGTTCAAAACCCATTTTCACCCTTCAAAACTCAAATTTTCACCCTTCAAAACCCAATTTTCACCCTTCAAAACTCAAATTTTCACCCTTCAAAACCCAATTTTCATCGTTCAAAACTTTTTTTCACCCTTCAAAACTCTAATTTTCACCCTTCAAAACTTAAATTTTCATCGTTCAAAATTTTTTTTTCACCCTTCAAAACTAAAATTTTCATCGTTCAAAACTTTTTTTCACCCTTCAAAACTCAAATTTTCATCGTTCATCGACTCGTCCCCAGGATACTATGGTCGGCTCTTCCCAGTATGCTTTGCGCGGAGAAAACTCTCCTTCCCAGGGCAGTCAAGTACATCATACGTTATTCGCTGCAGTCTCGCCGTGCCCAGAACGTAATTTTATATTATACCGGACGCTGTGGAAGGAAAACATTTCCAACACGGTTCCAACCGCACCAAGGCACGATTTTCAACCGCGCCGAGGCAAAATTTTCAACCACGCCGATACAGCTGTAACGTTAGTGGACGATCCCTTACGTGTCAAAGGTTACGTCACCACATGCTGCTAGCAACGAAGGTGGAAAGGTATAGTACGATTTTTTGTTTGTGTTTTATTCCACAATAAACATCTGAATCACCGTAACTTTTGGCCATGTAGATTGTCGCACGAGCTTGTGTCTGAAACGGATGCAGACAGAGACGTCAGGCTGTTTTTGTAAGTTAGGATGGGGAGGGGGGGCCGGCGTTTCTAATCTAAGTACTTTGACTAAGTTAGTTAGAGTAGTTTTTCGTGTTTATAAATTATGTTGTGGACAGAGTCCGACAGACTGTTGTTGGTTTCTTGTAACCCCAAAATTTAATGCTCTATTGGTTTGGGAACTGCTTGTATTTGTTTTGAGTAGCGGACAGACGTATATATTTTCCGACATAGATTTAATTCCCAACTATTTTCCACTGACACAGTTTCTCCAAATTGTTACATAACTGTTTTGGCGCGATCACTAGCTAATCTTACCCATTGCATTCTAAAGTTGCAGCCTGCTTGTACTTCTGCAGACCCAAACTTGGTACACTTTCGTAGCCCACATTTTGTTGCTTATGCATAGAGCTCATTGTAATTCATTCATTATGTGTACAGACTGCCTCACCTTTCCTTGGCTTTTCTTATTCATTTCCACCCTGCTCTTTCTCACTTCCCATATTGTTGTGAACTACCCTACCTATAGTTACTTGGCCAGGGTGAGAAACCTCCTAGAACTTGTGAAATATTTGTCTGAAATAATCCCCTTTGTTTTCCTTTGCACATAATTTGCATTATACTGTATTTCTGGCTTGCAAATAAGTTTCTTTATGAGTTTATCGACTCAACAAAAAGTACAGGGACTTTTGAGTGGTCTTCTAACAAAGCTTAATATATGAAACAAGTTTTTATTCTTGTTCCAAACCTGTTCCTGTCTCTTTTTTTAGCTGTTCTTGTCAAAATTTTCCCAAATGTTTTATCGTTTATGCTGACAGTTGCATAATTTGTTATGATACGAGGTGTTCTGTTTGTGGAAAATTGGAATGGGGAGGGGGAGCATTTCTACTTTTACTCCAAGTTATTAATATAGTAGTTTTTTTGTCTGAATTATGTTTATTTGTTGTAATGTCAGGGGCTGTTGTTGGTTTCTTGTTGGTTTCTTGTACGCCAAAACTTACTGCCCTGTCAATTTTGCAACAACTAAAGTCTTGTTTTGAATATGTAACGGTCATGACAGTTGACATGTGTAATTAGGTCAATTAGTGTTCAGACCACATGGAAGGCGGAGCTTGCATAGATTAATCCTGGTAGGTAAGCCCCGATTGGCTAGCATTAGCAGCCAATCAGTGAGTAATCAGAGTTGAGGATGTAAGTTAACAATTCTGTTAGAGTTAGTTCGAGATTCAGAACTCCAGGTATGTGTACATATTTCCTGTAGCTCCATGTACATTGTACAGCTTGTAATATCTCAATTAGTATACTAGTATATCCTGTTATAAGAGGGCCTGCAAGGGGGGGTAGTGATTACGAATAACGCAAAATTTTCGCCGCTGATTACGATTTACGTTAAAGTCTCAGAGCTGATTATGACTTTACGATTTGCTCCTAATGTCCTATTACGAATTACGTTGATTTTTGCAGAGGCTGCCTACGAATTACGAAGTCTAAAAAGGCCTGATTACGCCTTACGAAAAAGGGCATGTATGCAGGCCCTCTTATAACCCATGTGAAACCATAGACCAGTATCGAGTTCACAGCACAAAAGAAACCTAGGTTCTTGTCTTTTCTCAGGTGGCCTAGTTACTATGGTAACTCTCTCTCTGTAATTCAGTGTTAAGCCATAATCCTTGTAAACTCTAGACCATATATACATAATACAATAATATATATTGTACTTGTCAGTATAGGAGTAAAGTAAGCATAGATCAAGAGACACGGCTCTGCAGAAGTACTTCAATGTTGGTTAGGCTTTATCTGTTTATGCTATACTAGTCTATAGTAAGCAATATAGATGCTAGATAACCAAACACCATCAGGCACTTCTATAATATGTTACAAGTGGGACAGATGTATATTTTCTGACATAAATTCCCAACTATTTGGTTCCATGAATCTTGCCATTTTTGCCTGCTACTTTTAGTAATAACTTGGGTCATTGAATTTGAGGTCAGAGTCTCCTTTTTCCTTGGCACTTGCTACATGCAAAGTTTTCCACTGGCATAGTTTCTCAAAGAATTGCATAGCTGTTTGGCGTGATCACTGGCACATAATTTTCCGTAGATAATTTTGCTAATCTTGCCCATTACAACCTGGTTGTACTTCTGCAGACCCAAACTTGTTACACTTTTCGTAGCCCACATTTTGTTGCTTATGCATAGAGCTCATTGTAATTCATTCATTAATGTGTACAGACTGCCTCACCTTTCCTTGGCTTTTCTTATTCATTTCCACCCTGCTCTTTCTCACTTCCCATATTGTTGTGAACTACCCTACCTATAGTTACTTGGCCAGGGTGAGAAACCTCCCAGAACTTGTGAAATATTTGTCTGAAGTAATCCTCTTGTTTGCATTATACTGTATTTCTGGCTTGTAAATAAGTTTCTTTATTGACTCAACAAAAAGTACAGGGACTTTTGTAATTTAATGTAAATTGTATGGTTTTCTAACAAAGCTAAATACCAGTACATGTATGTATTTCCATGTACATGTAGATTGTTAACATCCGTGTCCATAATATCACCCGGGTCCATAATATCGCCACCTTGAAAAATAGCACATGCTTAAAGATAATTTTACTGCAACATATATTCTTAGGTATGTACATTTGAGGTGTGCAGGAGTGCATACCAAAAGTATGTTGCAGTAAAAATATATTAAAGCACACTATTTCTCAAGGTGGCGATATTATGGACCCTGGTGATATTATGGACACAGATGTTACCAACATTGAAGTACTTCTGCAGAGCCGTGTCTCTTGATCTATGCTTACTTTACTCCTATACTGACAAGTACAATGTATATTATTGTATTATGTATATATGGTCTAGAGTTTACAAGGATTATTGCTTAACACTGAGTTACAGAGAGAGAGTTACCATAGGTCTACTGGTCTATGGTTTCACATGGGTTATAACAGGATATATACTAATTGATATATATTATATTTAGGCTTCATCTGTTTATACTATAGTAAGCAATATAGATGCTAGATAACCAAACACAAAAACTGCTGACCCAAACTTGTTACACTTTTCGTAGCCCACATTTTGTTGCTTATGCATAGAGCTCATTGTAATTCATTCATTATGTGTACAGACTGCCTCACCTTTCCTTGGCTTTTCTTATTCATTTCCACCCTGCTCTTTCTCACTTCCCATATTGTTGTGAACTACCCTACCTATAGTTACTTGGCCAGGGTGAGAAACCTCCCAGAACTTGTGAAATATTTGTCTGAAATAATCCCCTTTGTTTTCCTTTGCACATAATTTGCATTATATTTCTGGCTTGTAAGTTTCTTTTTTGGCTCACCAAAAAGGGACCAAGTTATCCCAGGGGCCGAGTTTTCCTGACACATGTAAGGGTCATTAGACCACATGGAAGATGGAGCTTGCATAGATTAGCCCCGATTGGCTAGCGTGAGTGATTTTATGTGATTTTTAAAGGTTAAGTCCCTGACATATGTTAGAAAATAAGGTTTAAATTTGCATCTGAAAGAACCTGTTTGTGTGAAACTTTGAAAAAAAAATTAGGAAAGTAACGTTTTTGAATGGAAAAAAGCCTTCAAATGAATTACAAATCCTTATAGTTGTAATAGTAACTTTTCCATCTATTTCAGACAAGTTCACGCAATTTTCAAATATTCAGGTTTCATAGAAGATATGCAAATTAAACTTTCTTGAGGGACCTAAAATTTCAAACACAAATTTCCGGTAACAGATGGAAAACTATACCACATGACAGCAATTTGTCCTGCCTGAGAAATTGGAACTCCATATTTTCTATTATATTTCAGGGACTTTTATTTTTCATGCACAAAGTTTTCATGTACAATCAATCAATCAATTAATCAATCAAAAATGGTTTATTGCTAAAAATCACGAACATTGCAGCAGAAAGCTGAATTGCAAGCTTTTCACGTGCAATTCTTTTACGCGCAGAAAACCTGTTCCATGCCGTATTTTATTTGTCTTAAGTATAGATTTACTAACCATTAATTCTTTACACCACCAATAAGCCAATGTACACTCTGCCAATTTCTACACACTCAGGCAGTGAAAGATGTCAAGGCTGAAATCTGAAGCCTCAAGAGATCCGGAGGGAAGACTCCGGGGGGAGTGTTTGAGGTGTCACAAGTGTGCAGCTTACTGTCCGAAGCCAGGCAGTAACGTGTGCAAAAGCTGCTCACATGTTGCAAGGGACCACGTGAGTTTCTCTTCTGTTGTTGTATTTAATCTGAAGCCATGCCCCCATTAGGAATGCCCTAGTAATTTCAAACACCTCGGGCAAAGTTTGCGCAGGAAGGGTCGCACAGGCCGCCGCTGCCAGAATGTCTGTTTTGCCGCATGCGCCGCATTTACGCAGTTGGACTTTGAAATTGTAAGTTTCCTTTGCCATGTGTATCAACACATGATTATCATAAATACATACAATTGTTAAAGTCATTGTCTTCGTCAAGAAGAGTAAATTGTATTAGGTTTGGCCGTGGTGCGGGTAGGTAGGTTGACATTATAATTTGTCTTCTTTTGTGTGTGTTTTTGTGAAAAGTACTTCTAAATTACAGAACAAAATGGCATCTTGCAATGTTGCAGAACATTGAAAGAAATTATTTTTTATGACTCAGAAGTGCTAAAGAAAACCTAATATTCTGGTGATTGAGACATGGGGTTAAATGTACATATACATGTAAATCTTAAATAAATAAGTCTAAACAGTCCTGGACCAGGAGATGAGGTCTGTAATGTTAACAACCAATATGAATCTTAATCGTAGAGAGTCAAGTCACTGAGAGGGTGACTTGGAGTTCATGATAGTTTAATTATCTTATCACTGAGTAATGTTCTTCTTGTTTTTTGATGTACTTTTATGACAGCATTGAGCATAATTTTGTTTAAGTTATGACTAATGTACTGTTTATACCACTTCACTTACAGGCTCTTCTTGAGGCATGCCACATGCAAGGGTGCAACTGCCCGGAGTGTGTTATTGTCAAAAACGTGCCGGGAGAATGTGCAAACTGTGGGCACAAAGTGACGGCACATACTCCTACACGAGGTACATTTTACTTACTAGTATATATTAGATGTATAAAGTGCCTTGAGTCAAATTACCCCTTATCTCCAGAGGGTCAACTCATGCATGCACGCACTGTTGTTTGGCCAGTCCTTTAATTTATTACTCTTTCAAAGCAATTATTTTTCATCCTCCCATATATCAGTAATTGTCTCTATTATGCAGGCCTTTTTACATTATTCACGTTGAAGTAGAGTTATTGCAGTTTGGTTGCCCGTTGTACAAATTCAACTGCAAGGACAATTGGTCGAAGGCTTGAAGTACTGGGTATTTACAAAATAGAAGCTCTTTTTGATGACATTGGATGTACCAGGATATTTGTGCAGGTGTTTCAAATGAGTCTAATGTTACAGCATTGTACAAGTGTCAGAAAAAAATCTTTGCTGTTTTGCTTGTTTAAAAATTAAAAGTTGTAGAATCTTTGATTCCAGCCAGCAGAAACTGTACACCTACCAGGTCGCTAAGTTTTGCAACTGGCAGAATTATTGTCATTTGTTAACTTATCTCTTTCAGACATGAAGGTTGCACGGATGTCTTCACGGAATGGTATGTATCAAGACCGATGAGAAATGGCATTAAAACTTTTCTTAATTTTTTTATAATAAAAGTAGGTGTTTTTCTTTTAATTAAATTAGGTAGCCATACAGCCAGATTTGGAGGCGTGGTCTAGATTATAGTCTAGTGCTCTATAATACTGTACAATGTCAGGTACAAATGTTCCTACAACTGACTCGCACTAAACCTGCGAGTCAGTGTTGTCATTACATTTAGTGTTTCAGCTTATCTTGTCATGATGCATTGTATAAGGAAGCCAAATGGTTGGTTTACTCATTATTGAAGTATCTTCCTGTCAGTTGTTCTGGCTTTAATCAACACTCCATTACAATCTCTTAATGGCTTTGGAATTTGACACTTTTATCTCGTACAGTTGTAATGTGATTGTCCCTGTTAGTGTACTTTGTGCCCTCACATGTAACTCTTTAAGCTATAGACAGTCCTAAGGCTTATAGATAATGTGTTTTTTTTTAACAGATGAGGCTGTGCCATCCACCAGTTCCATGCAACCTGCTGGTCAGTGTCAACTTATGATTATTAATAACCCTTGTCCTGCGGGGCCCATATATATATGGGTTGCACATACAGTACCATCTATATAGTGCCCTGTATATGTGCGATTTGGGGGTGTTTCTTGTGCAACGCATCACACCACAGCGAAACGCAACGAATGCGGAAGTAACTACGCCGCCGCAGGGCAAAAATAGTCAAGGGTCTGTGACCTGATTAAGACATGAAATTATTTGAAAATATTGTGTAAAAATTGCCAGCAGGACAATTAATTGTCATTTGCCCAGCTTATCTATACACAGTATGTACGTGTATAATTATGTACTATATACATATAGAATACAACACAGGGTATTCCCCAAAAGATCCAGAACCCCAAAAGATCCAGAAACCCATATTGATTTATCAACCTTTGCCTCAGTTTTACACCTAAGTGAGATAACCTCAGCCAATTGCAGGAATTCCTATTAGAAGCTTTAAATTTCATGACCTCCATGAAGGTTGTATATGTGTGTTTGCAGCAAATGACAGTATGAGATATTCATTGTTTTACATTTTTCTTTCTTCTTCAATCTAAGGTACAAGCAAGACAACCAAGTCTTTTCACCAGTGGCTGCAAGATGAGGACAGTGAGGAGGAGTTTGAGAAAAGCTTCCTGCCAACCAAAAAGAAGAAAGAGACTGACAGAAAGCGCTTCTTTCAGCCGAAGGGAAAAGGAAAGGGAAAGGGACAGGGAAAGGCTGGAAAGAAACACGTAAGTGACTGAATTTACAGAAATCCAATGTAGAATTAGTCACACTTTCAGACTGCAGTTTTTATTATGTAAAGTATTTTTTACTTAAACCAATTTCAACTGCAGTTGCAAAATACGTGTATACGTGTTCCATGACTGCATACCTCCAATGATGATCATGTTATCTCTTCTGGTGGACAACTTATACATCTTCACTCATTGATTTTGCAAATATACCTCACTTGCATGAATCATATCAGTTGATCATATTCTCTACCCAATGACAATCTACCTTAACTTAAGAAAGAACGCTGCTCTAACAACATATATATCTCCTCATAAATTATGCAAATAAGATCATGACTTGTGAATTGTGTTAGATTTTCACCATCACTTAAGTTCCAAATGCGGCAAGTATTGATATCCCAGGAGTTACCACCATGACATTTAGCAATTTCTCACCAATTAATATATGTAAAATAGGTACTCATTTACATAATCAACATCTGCTAATGATCCCCTCATACTTATGTCACAAGTGTTTCATAGCCCTATTACTGAACAAAGTAGATTTATAGAATTCTCGCTAATTATTCAGATTAGATCTTGATTTGCATAGTTGTTATTTAGTCATATCAAGAATCACTGCCTACATACCAAAAATCATGACAATCTGTCGACCGGTTCTTGAGATATCAAAACAGGAAGTTCTACAGCAGTACCATTGAAAGCAGCTAGGGCCCCAAAATCCAATTATTTCTAAGTCTTACCTACCAAGTTTCATGACAATCCATCCATAGGTTCTTGAATTATACTATTATACACAGACAAATAGATGGACAAACGCTACTGAAAACATGATGTATTTGGCAAAGGTGATAATGCAGTATTTTACTACTGAACAAATTGAAAATGTTTCTGAAACCACGATATACAGTTTTTATGTACACTTTTGTTTGTATTGTTGTCATAGATATGAACAGCGAATGCTACAACTTTTGTTCTAAAAGAAACATGTTTGATTTGGTACATAATTGTTGTTGTTTTAGAAATTCAACTTGTCAATGCTGTCTGAGCAAGGGTCAACTGTGGCGCACAGCTGTTTTGGCATCTCTGTGTCAGAATGGAATTCAGAACAAAGTATTCTAGAGCTGGCCGGCCAGAAGCTACTGGCCATGCGGAAGATCGGCAGCGACAACGTAGGCCATCTCCTTCTGTGTGAAGGGGATGGTGCCTGGCTAAAGTATGTGCCAGGGACAGTGCAGCCATTTGTTGTGAGGGACTACCTGGAGTTTCGGGGCATACCCTCCAGTAAGATACACCTGTATGTGATGACCCGGACAGACTACATAGGTGGGTACTGCTCTCTTTACTATAATGCAGTCACTGTAGATACTGTAATGATCTCTAAATGAAATCATGGTTAACATTTCACAAGGTTTACTTACTAAGGTGTTGCATGAACATTCATCATGGAAGCTCATCTGTGATAGTGATGCTACTTAGCCGAACCTTGTTACAACACATGTAATCACTGTAAGGATATATGGGCAACCTAACTTTGATGCAGTGCAGCAATTAGATTATACTTTTACAGTATGCATATTCCAAATATCTTAAATGCACTTTGTTCTTGCAGCCACAATAAACCTTTTCTTACTCTGATTTGTTTGACAGTGCTGCAGAAGTCAAAACCAAAGCTGAGTAGGGACCAGCACTGGAAGGAGGCTAGACTCCCAGAGGATGATGTGAGTACCTAGTAGGCTACTACTAGATAGTACTACAATAGAGTGCATCAAATAGTTCAGTAATACCAACTACACAGTTAGTTCATACAAAATATGTTTTTGTTGTTGTTTTACATCTCGTTAGTATTTGTTCAATGGTAGAACATGTACATTTAGCACCCAATCCAAATTAGAGTTTTGTTGGTTTTAGGGTATTGTGTTTTTTTTTTGTGTCATGTCATATTTTCTTTCAATTCTTCCGATTAGTCTTGCTGAAGTTGTTATATGCATATGGCATTTATGTTTTCATATTTTCAGGAGCATCATTCAGATGACACGAAACGAGATGAAGCTGCAGAAATAGAGATTGTTGACAGCAACGATGATGAGGTAAGTTTTATGGACTGATTGAAAATGAAGTAAGTTATATATAGACCATGGGCCAGGCAAGTTTACTGGGGACAGCCAAGGGATTCAGGCAGTCTTCAGGCAGAAGTTTTATTTCAAACTTCTTCAACATCAGTTTGTTTTGTTCAATTTCATTTTTTCCTGTTCAATATCAGGTTCAATACAGCATTTGTCTTTGAGAAAGCTGGTCTGTTTGTTTCAATCCTCTTGTCCCTTGGGTGCTTAGCTTGCACAAATGAGGGGCCTGGTTTCAATTAAAAACCAAAAAGTGTGGTACTAAATTCATGCGAATGAGTTTTAGAACCACACATTTTGGATAGCACCACACTTTTTTTTGCACTATGAGGATTTGACACAGAAAATGAAGGGCTCTCATTGGCTGAGGGGTAGAGGCCATGTTCTAAGTGAATATTTTCTCGAGGATAGTATCATCCTGTGACACCTCTTCTATATCTCTTGCTTATAATAATAATAGTAGTAATTCTGTTTCATAACTATTTCATAACTATAACAAGAAGCTCGGCATAAATGCTGGCACAGGTTGAAGTTGCAGGAATGTTTTCAAGGACATCCATTTTGTGGAGTGCTGGTTTCACCCCAGGTTACATAATATGCGTGTGATGACCTGTGGAAGAATGGATTAAAGTATGAAAGTTGAAGCTGTGATACTGATAGTTCATTTGGTGATAGTTGATTTGGGCAATGTTATTTTGGTTTTTGCACAGGGATGATTGTGGAATGTGCCGTATTGGCTAGTAGCTAGTCTGGCCTGTCTAAGATTATTGTGTTGTTTTTTTTTTTTATTAGATCTACTTCCCTGGTCCTAGAAGACCAAGAACCAGCACACCGCTGTATGACGAGACAGTGGCTATGGAAGATTTGGGAGTAAGTTGTTCACCTATTGCAACATACTTCTTTGTACTTCAAGTACTGTAATTCGTGATTTTCACTGTACTGTTATGTTCACTGTTTTCATGGTCACTTCTGTACTGTGAACTTATCATTACAGTTAACAAATAATTCCTGGACTTTCTTTTTCCTGCACCTGTCGCCACTGTGAATATATAGTTCCGTAAACCTGTCCATTTTTCACAGACCACGAACTTTTGCTACCTTGCACATAAAGTCAATTACGGTATCTGACAGACAACCCTGTTCAAACCTCATTGTCACAATGACATGATGGAGTGCTTCTCTGTATATCAGATTTCCACTCACCTAATACATACATTAACACACAGTCTGTGCTTTTCTCAGATTCATTCCAGTACGACTCCTACTTCAAAGGCATCTGTCACCTGTGTACATATACATGTATCTGGTTTCTGCACATTATATGTTGAGAGAACACTGAACCAATCTAGTATACAAGGTACCATCTTAGACATCTTTAATAAGTTTCTTCCCTGTCCCCAGGGCCTTGAGGACCCAAATGAAGATCGGCTGGCAGGGGCAAAAAGGTATTATTTGATTGGTTCAAAGACACTTTATAGAGACTTTTATTGGTTCCATAAGTACCTTGATCTAGGAGGGTACAATCTTGTGTGTGTAAGTGTGTGTGCATGGAGGTTAAAACCTCCATGGTGTATGTATGTGTGTGTGTGTGTGTGTGTGTCTCCCTGTGTATATATGTATGGTGTGCGTGTGTGCCTATGGTGTGTGTGTGTGAGTGAGTGTGTGTGAGTGTGTGTGTGAGTGAGTGTGTATGTGTGAGTGTGTGTGTGTGTATGTGAGTGTGTGTGAGTGTGAGTGAGTGAGTGTGTGAGTGAGTGAGTGAGTGAGTGAGTGTGTGTGAGTGAGTGAGTGTGTGTGAGTGAGTGTGAGTGAGTGAGTTAGTGAGTGAGTGTGAGTGAGTGTGTGAGTGTGTGTGTACAAGAAATAATGAGGACTAGTATGGCTAAGTTCAGTACTATGTGTCTCATAACGTCGAAGGAAGGTTTATTGTCCGATTCCCATGCCGACCAAACTGCGTTTCTCCGTGTGTTGGCTAAGGTGCTAATTGTCTTCCAATAAAGATCACTTGTTGATGTTGCACAAGTTGTTAATGACAGGTTTCTATGTTTTTCATCCAGGGTTCCAGACACCACCCATGACTCTGAATCCAGGGTTCCAGACACCACACATGACTATGAATATGCGTAAGTGTATGGTTCTATTCCAAATCATTCAAAGACAACCGTGATGTTGAGGTGTTTTTGATAAGTCCACATCACTAACCACACAAACATTACCACAAACAATGATATGCATAGGCTTTTGTTGATATCAATTGTGCTTTTTTCTGTGCTACTAGCCACGAGCTTTGATGTTGAAGATTAATGACACATATTTATAGGACACTTTGTTTGCTATGTTGTTACTAAGTAATAACCACGTAGATAGATACATGTTACAATAGCTTCTATTTGTCAGACCTCAGTGCTAATGCTGGGCAAGTCTGTCATGTCACTGTAGATAATTGACACTTAGAGGGGTCACATTAATGTGGTGTGGTAGGGTCGGAAATGAAGTGGAGTTGCTTTGCCACAAATGTAGATCCAGGCTTTAATATGGTGCAATGCACACTAAAATGATATCTTCCTGTCTTTGGTTTACAGAAAGATGTTACAGCTTGTCTATGACAACGAGGCATCAGAGTATGCCAACAGTGATACAGATGAAGCTGACTTCAGCACATCACGGTAGGTCTCCAGTTTCTTACTTATAGTCCTCAATAATTTTGCCAAGGATGTGACATTACAAGTGTTCTATGACGGTATAATTGCTACGCTCCATGAAATGGTGTAAACTGTGTTCAGTCAGGGTTTATGTTTTGGTGTATATATCAATATCTGTCAGTAAGAATGCGACAATATTTGAAAGGTTGGTATAGAGAATTGTGTTGGTTGAGTTCAGGTCCCTCGTGATTGACCTTGGTACTGCAGTTAGAATTTGTTGAAATACTGATGGTCTATGGATGTGATGTTAGGGTAGCATATTGTTGCTGACGTAAGGGTGTAGTGGTGTAAATTTGGCCCTTTAGCTGTTTGTTGTTTTAGTATCAATTCAGCATAATGATCTCAAGAGCCGCTGGATAGATAATGTGATTAATTTTGGTACCTTTGCAGTCACTGTGTGCTGTCACTGTATTAAGAACAGTGTATAATGTTTAATGGAGACAATATCTAACAAACAAACAACTCTATAGCTCTCTCCCGCCCATTTCGTCCATAGTGCAATGACATAGACTCGCCCTGACAGGGCATGTTGTTCGTAGTAACGAACCAGCTTGTAGACTAATACAGTGACTTCCCTCTGGGAGACGAACAGTGGGTCGGCCATATACTACACTTTAGTCAATGCTAGAGAAAGATGCTGGTCTTGCAGGGAATGCTTTATTGTCCGCTATGAGGGATAGGACATACTGGAGTAACTTTATCAAGTGTACCTCACCGGAGCCATGATGATGATGTGTGCCTTAATGCGCTTTAGCATGCATTAGCAGGTTGTTACAGGTGTGAAAGGTAGGCTTTGTGTCTGAGATGAATGGTACTAAAATTTATTTGTCCTTGATGCATGTCATAACGGTTACCATAACCAGTATTCAATGTATTTCTACAGAGAACTGGCTGATGATGCATCAGGAGGTGCTGAAACCTCAAGCATGGAACCATGGTAACTTTTCATCTCTTATTACTAGTAACGTTACCTCTTATTTTCTGTCGTCCATTTTGTAGTGCTAGTTCAGTTAGCATAACTGACCAATCCTTACATGGTAACAAGAAGAGTGCTTGGACATTCAATTTGAAGTACATGTACCTGGTATTGATTTATAAAGCAGTAGTTCACACCATTTTGCTTAGCCAATAGTGGTTTTGTTAATGAAATATCTAAACAACATCAGTTGAAATCTATTATGTCTCGAGATTTCTGTACACATTGCAAGGTGTGCAAACTTTTATTGGGATTCTATCGTCAATTTCAATGTCTTGATTTACTGTCAAAGCTGGATGAAACATTTCAGTTCAGAGCTAATGTTTGTGGAATGTACATGGCAGTGTCCAAATAAGTGTGTGATGATATCAAACATTTTATCCAGGAATCTTGATTTTCGAATGTATGTCAATAACAGGGCGTTACACTGGGACATGGATACAATGATTTGCCAGTTGGTATCTTGAAGATATTAGATTGCATGATACTAGTACATGATGTCTGCAAGGTTGTAAGATCTGTGAGATCAGTTTTATCTTCAAGGTAATTGTAACCATAAAACCATAGAAATTAAAATGCTGTATATGATAAATGCAAAGTTCTGCTGAGAAATAATATAATTGATCTTAATAGCAGAATGAAAGATATTCCATGCCTTTTTGTACGATGGTCTACAAAAGACAGATCTAACAAGACTTGGCATATGGTATGAAATGGATAATTACTGCTGGTAATTAACTTTAGTGTTTTTTTTGTTTTTTCAGGGAGAAGAAAGACCTACTCAAAAAACTCGTGAATGAACTACATGAAAAAAACATTAAAAAAACGCAGACAAAACTGTACAATGTTCGCCGAGATAAGGTTTGGCCTTCACTAAAAGAGAAGATTGCCCGTAAAACCTTTGACCCGTTCAAGGCCATAGAGGTCAAGTTCATTGGAGAGGAGGAGACCATCGACCAGGGTGGCCCCAAAAATGAGATGTTTAGACTGGCGCTTGATGGCATCTTCTCCTCAAGTGGCCTTTTTGAACTCACTGCACAGGGCTTTCTGCCAGTAAGTTCCCCCATCGCGCTGTACAACGAAGAGTTTGTGACAGTGGGGAAAGCCCTCGCCATGTCCATTGTTCACTTTGGACCATCCCCCACTTGCCTACACCCTGCTGTAGTGGCAGTGGTCTGTGACCAGAAGCTGCCAGACATGTCTGCTTTCAAGCCAGTGGATAAAGGAACAGCTGACTTTGTGGAAAAGGTGATTCCTGTCAGATATTTTTAACAAAGTAAGAATAAATCTATCACGAAACTGAGATTTATTCTCCAAGGGTAATCTTCTGCCATACTACTTACGTGGCCATTTTAATTGTGGAAGCTCAGGATTTTAAGTAATGCAGAACAATTTTTATTTACCAGATTTCTCTTGCCATTGCAGTAGTTTTTCACCATTTTGCTCCAAATATGCTGCTTTCAAGACATGAGTTTTGCAATACTGAGTGAGCATTATTTGTCCCGTTTGTCATTTGACATTTTATTTAATATGTATTATGTGTTTGTTACAGCTTGAAAAAGCAACCAAGGAGACCCTGCCCAGCCTGCTCCAGAGCGACATTGGCATGTCGATGCTGTCCGTGGCGGGCTGGAGGAAGACGGCAGCCAGTACGTCGATTGAAGAAACAGTTGTCATAAGGAGGGCACTGTGTCTTCAGGACATTGTAGTCTCCAGAAAGGTAACTATTTTTCTTCTATAGCCTTTGGCCTCAGTGGTTACATTTAATGAATAGAATTTGGAATGCTTTTGGCCTCTATGAGTCAGTGGATACATTTAATGAATAGAATTGGAATGCTTAACTTTCAAAAGTTTCGATGGACCTTGGAATGTATGGAATGTTTCATACCTAGCTGTATTCTATGTGTATTTTAGCAAGACTATGAGGTTTATCAAGAGACGACCACTAACAATCTCCTAGGGGTTTTTCTAAACGGGGGAAAAGGGAGCTCCCTCATGTAACCAGCCAGCTCCCTCATATCAATTTTCAGATTGAACCCTAAGTGGCTACTTACACACCGTTTAGTCTTTCTCAAAATGATCTTTCTAGTAAAGATGTAAAAGCAATACAGCAAATGTGTGTTAGTTTAGATTGGTAAATCAATTTTCATATGTTATATATCATTGTTCATTTTTATTACTCTTCACAACAGTCAGCCATCGAGCAGCTGCGAGAGGGTTTGAAACTGTTTGGCCTGCTCAGTGTTTTGGAGTCAGAGCCCCACCTGGCCGGGTCACTCCTGCTCAAGTCTACTACTCCAATCACTTCTGACGACGTAGTGAGATCACTGAGTGTCCACTGGGCAGAGGACGGCAGCAACAGGAAAGACAGACAAAAGGATGTCTATCAGAGGCTAACGACCTGGCTAGAATGCGTGGAAGAGGGTCAGTCAGGTTTTATTCTCTTACTACATACATTCTATATAAATTCAATAGAGTCCTCTTGAAAGTTGCATTGTAACGCCCTAACTTTGACGAGATAATCATGGATCCCGTTGTCTCAGCGAACAGACTGAATCATGATCTCAGTGTAGTGTCAGACTGGTCAGACCAGTGGCTTGTAACATTCAATCCTGGCAAAACAGAACTGATGACTTTTTCCTCTAAAAGAGGAAAGGTTCTTCACCCACCATTATACTTTAGAGGTGTTCAGCTGACTGAAACCCCCTCTCACCAGCACCTTGGCTTACATGTCACTCCAAATTTATCATGGTCACTCCACGTGTCAACTCTGGTGACGAAAGCAATGAAACGAGTTAACTTGTTGACAAGAATATCAAATTTTGTGCCACGGAAAACTCTCGAAATCTTGTACAAAGCCATGATACGTCCTTTACTTGAGTACGCCAATGTTGCCTGGTGTGGTGTTCTTAAGAAGGATTCAGACCTCCTTGAGTCAGTCCAGGTGTCTGCTGCCCGGGCTTGCACAGGCACAATGAGAGGGACGAATCACCACCGCATTCTATGTGACGTCGGTTGGGAAACACTTGCCAACAGACGCGAAAAGTTCAAACTTGTCCACATTTACAAAATGTCCATTGGTTTAGTTCCCAAATATCTACAAGACTTGGTTCCCCCACTTATCCGTGATTCCACCCCTTATGGCCTGCGTACTGACCAGAATTATCACCCTTTTCCCCTCAAAACTGGAAAGTACAAAAAATGCTTCTTGCCTTCTGCTGTTCTCTCTTGGAACAAGTTACCCCAGACCGCCAAAGAATCCCTATCCATTCGAGCATTCAAAAATGAATTAGATTCTTGCTTTGATAGCATGCAGACATCCTCACTACTCTCACGGCCACGGACACTATGTGACTCACCTTCCCAGACTCAGGCTTGGTTTCAGCCAGCTGAACTACCACCTATTCCAGCATCACTGTATCACTAGTCCCAAGTGCAAATGTGGGCATCCAAATGAGACACCAGATCACTATTTATTACACTGCAAATTTTATAATAATGAAAGGACCAAAATGTTGTTATCCATATCTTGCCTTCATCTTGAAAACATACTTCCTTCCGACCCACTCAATGCAAACGGCGCCACATTATGTACTTTACTTCTTACAGGTAGCCCCTCCCTCCCATACCCTACTAACTGTGTGCCGTATCTTTGATATTGTGTTTAACTATATCCACCACTCTGGAAGATTTGACCAATCTCATTAATGCTATGCTATAGGTATTGGTGCGCCAGCCACTTTCATTTTATGTTGATGTTATACTTTATGTCATCTTTATGTTTACATTTGTATTATGTTTTATGAGCAGCGGATTCACATAAGCACAAGAAGTGTTTCCTATCCAATGCTCAAAAATCCATGTGAATAAAAGAAAAAAACGAGAAAAAAGTTGCGTTGTTAAAAAAATAAAGTATCGAGCCCACACTACATGTATACTTTGCATGGTGTTTGACAATTGCACCTTGGCCAAGCATCATATCATGCTAGATCATGTTGTAATGTTTATTACATTAATGCCAGAATGTTTGTCAATTCAAGATGAACTTACATTCACTTTCTCTTGTTAACCATTCAGGTGATGGCCGTGTCTCGCTCAAGCACTTCCTAACATATGTGACTGCCCAGGAGGCTGAGCCAGTGACTGGGTGGCAGCTGGAGCCGGTGCTGCAGTTCAAGGTATGCCCCGCAGGCTGTGGGTGCTACCCAGTGTCGAACACTTGCGCCCTAACGTTGACGATGCCAGAGCACATGGCAAACCTTTCCCAGCAGGAGTTCGACTGTGCTATGGAGGAAGCCATAGTTGGTGGGTGGGGCTTTGGGAGGGAGTAAGGTACTATATGACTACTAGTAGTATGTTGTTGTCAACTGAGTTTACTTCATGTTATACGCTACAGGTTTCTTATTTGACTTTGAAGAAAAAAGGCAGTTTGCCCTCTCAAGATTTATGTTCTTAAAGTTAAGGTTAGGATTTAGGTTAGGACTACTAGTAGTATGTTGTTGTCAACTGAGTTTACTTCATGTTATACGCTACAACTTTGTCATTTGACTTTGAAGAAAAAAGGCAGTTTGCCCTCTCAAGATTTATGTTTTTAAAGTTAAGGTTAGGATTTAGTTTAGGACTACTAGTAGTATGTTGTTGTCAACTGAGTTTACTTCATGTTATACGCTACAACTTTGTCATTTGACTTTGAAGAAAAAAGGCAGTTTGCCCTCTCAAGATTTATGTTTTTAAAGTTAAGGTTAGGATTTAGTTTAGGACTTAGGATTTAGATTCTTACACCAAGACTCCTTTTTTCCTTTTAAGGGTGATATTTTAGTGTCAAGAAAACCTTTTCCATGTTCTTACAACAAGAATGCATTTTGGGTACATTGTGAATGCTGTCAAAGAATAAAACAGTCTGCATACTTTCAAATATCAGTTTGTCTGTGTCATCACCATGCTCAGATAGAGTAGATAATGAATGTGTATCACATTTGATTAGAATAAATGCCAACTGTTTTTGGTGTAGGCAATGTAAAGCCACCTGTTGTGATGGCATGTATATATCATGGGGAATAATCTATAATTTGTCAGTCATAAAGATTAACATCATTTGGCGGAGTATGACATCGTGGAACTCTAGTTTATTTTTTATCTGTAGTCTTCCATAGATTCTTCAGTTTTTTTCTGGACATATATTTATACAACTGGTGTAGCAAGCTATTAGCTAGTGCCAAAGCAGGTTGACTGGGATTCATTGTTGCAAGCGGTGATTCAGTTGGGCTTTACCAACCATATAGAGCAAATTGCAAGGATGCGTTGTATTGTACATGTATTCGCAGTGCTCGAAATACATGTGTGCAAAATACACATGATTTGCACTTAATAATAACATCAGACTGAGTATATTTGTATCTCTAATTAAAGGAGGCACAAGGGGAGAGTATGTCACCTTGTTCATCTTTAAACCATGTTTTTACACATTGGCAATTTATCTACAATGGACAGAATGAAAATATTTTGCTATAGAATAAGTAGCAGCTTTACCAACTGGATTAACATGAAAATTACACTGACAAATGGAGTTTGATTTGGTTACCTAAGGTAAGCTTCATACACATGTGTTCCTATTGTTTTAGATAACATATCTGCAGGTGTGTAGCATTATCTTAACAGAAAGAATAAGATAACTATATCAAAGCACATGCTTAAAGACTAGTTGTATTACCCCATTTTCAGAAGTTGACTAATTAGATTTTATGATGCGGTATATGGTGTGACATTGGTCTTCTACATATCCAAAACTCTGGTACAGGATTTGACATAATATAAATAGTTACGGTTGGACAAGATACAGGGTACCTGTGGTTGTTTTCTGTACAATGCTACTACAAGTCTCATATATACAGGTACTGAGGTAGTCACCACCCCTTTTTACATCCCAGCTGCTAGGACCACAAGGTCTTTGTACAAGTTGATAGCTTCGTTGGTGTTGTTGGGAGATGTCCTGCCCATTCTGGTCAGCATGTCGCCTGCATATCTATGAAACCTCTCACTCCCAACCATACTGTATTGCTTACAATGACGTCTTGCTGCCTGCATCATCCCACCAGGAACAACTTGAAGCTGATCCTCACCACCTAAAGCACAAGATGAATAATGGCCACATAGAGTGATGCATAATATTATCATACGTAAAGAGAGTGAACAGTTTCCAAAGCCAGCTCACTGGCAGTTGAAAGTTTGTTATGTCCCTCCAGTAAAGATCTGGATGTAGATGTTTTGCTCCCCTCCCCCAAGGTTAATTATCCTGACAGAAGCGAAGGAGACCATGTTACCATATTTTCAATAAGAATGAGTGAATTACCATAACTCATCTCTTGTCTATTAGTACATGTGATTGGTAAATTGTGTCTATGTGTTACACACAGTATGTAGGTACAGGCTGCAAAATACTGGACTGTAACATTTAAATCATACAGGAATGGAACCCTACACTGATACACCTCGAGGTTAGTGAAACAGACAAACTAGAATTCAGAAAGAGGCCCAAAATTGACCTTAGTCATCATGTTCAACAATCCATTAAGTTATGATAATAAGAAATATGTGGAAACACAAACAAACAAGTAAGCATGATGTAAGTTTTAAGGTTATTTAGTGGTGCATGTACCTGTCTGCTCTGGTAGGAAGTGTAGTACATTTGGGCGTCCCGCAGGCACCAATGCGCTGTGGTGGGGTGGGATTCTTCTGTCGTTCCAGTCTTGTGCGAACGTGTCCAAATCTTGTGCCACAATGGGCATTAAGCAATACTGAAGACACCAGCTGTAAATGATAATGATGAGGGTCATTGCACAGAAGTACACAAAAGGACAACTACAACAATGTCACATGATGCATTTGTACATGTATTTGATAAACACCACATAATTAAATTCTGTTGTATGTAGAGCTGTCTACACAGAAGGACTCACAACTTATACAAAAAGATCTGAACACGCTGGAAGAATGGCAAAGCAAATGGCTCATGCAGTTTAACCCAGAAAATGCTACATTATGCATATATCAATTTATAATCAAACAAACGAACCCTACATATAACTAGTTACCAGTTCTGTGGTCAAGCCTTGGCAACAAAAAAAACCCATCCGTATCTCGGTGTTACATTGACAAGTAACCTTAAGTGGGGCACCCATGTTAACAACATCACTGCGAAGGCCAAACAGACATTGGGAGTGATTAAGCGCAATCTGTCGTCCTGCCCAACAAGGGTAAAAACACTTGCATACACGTCACTTGCAAGACCAAACCTAGAATATGCCGCGACAGTATGGGATCCATATTACAAAGGAAGACAGAGACAAACTGGAAAGGGACAGAACAAAAGCAAGCTGCAAGATCCTGCACGAACAACTATCAAAGGGGTGCTAGTGTAACGGAAATGAAAAGAAACCCACAGTGGGGGTCGCTGGAAGACAGATGTAGTATGTCCAGACTGTGCATGATGTACAAAATGACTAATAAACTAGTGGACGTACCAACCACTGAGTATCTGATACCAGCCCAGAAAAGAACAAGAAACAGTCATGCCTTCAAATATCAAAGTTATCAACCAAGGTGTTCAAAAACTTGTATTTCCCCAGAACTATTGTAGGTACAGGCAGGGGGGGCATCATCACTAGAAAGCTTTAAACAACACTTGCAATTAAATGTGCAAAGATTGAGTGTAACAAGACGTCATTCGGTGTGATATAGCTAGCTGCCGTAACGCCGCGTGCCTGCGAAGCTGGTGTGTTACGCCAAAGGGCAGTTATACCGGCTATACTGACACAGATACAGAATTCAGTAGACTAAGTGCATAGCGACGTATATACGACAAGCCTGTACATGCTGGCTTTTTGCGGAGTTTATGAGTCAGCACTGTACATAGTCAAGTATGTACAAAGTTCTTGAGTCGTGACGCTTCAGTAGCCTGGGTGCCGTCCTTCAGCTTCCTCCGGCTCGCTATTGACACTAACTACCATGGACTACCTGAGTCTAGAGGCAGAGCCTCGGAGGATGTGATTTTTTTTAATGTCATCCATAAAATTAAGTAGGTGTGGCCTAACAATTAGCAGTCACCTCTCCAATGCGGTCAGCTCGGTGCGAACTGAAAGTCTATGTCTCTTGATGCTTGTGATGGACAAATTTGAACTATGATCACATAATATACAATATAACAAATAAATAAATACTCACGTGTGAATACAATTTCCTACTTCAAAGTCTCCATCATCAACCAAGCCCTAAGAACAATGAAGATGAAAAACAGTAAAATTACCATATGCAATACTAAGTATATAGGATTGATATGAAGAAGTTTCATCTACCTTGCAATATTTGTCTTTGCAACTTGTGCTCAAAACCAGATTTTTATTTTTTGCCACATTGCATTATATCACAAAGGTCTTTGGATGTAAGAGAAATCCTATTATATTAAATACACGTGGTTACCTGGAAAACTTCAATCCACCACCGCAGTCTTGGTTTAAGATGTGACCAAAATGCTTCAATTCTCTGCAAACATAAAAATGAAAACATTGACCGTGAGATGGGTAATCTAGGACCTGTTATGTTATTTTCTTTACAGACAAATGCTACATTTGTATAAACTTTGTGACACACATAGACATTGGTAGAATGTCATTAAACATTGATCAGAACATTTGTACCTGATTATGGACAGATTTTCCATATTGGTGACTTTTAGGGCCTGCATGTTCGTCAGCATCACGTGCACGAAATGTACACTGTATTGCAGCCACCACGACATTCTCTGATCCAGGATCGCTCCTGACTATCAAGGGGCAACCTATGAGAGGTTGGCAATTAATAGTTATAAAATGTGATTTTAACTGAAACAGGCAATACAATGCCAATGGATTATCGTATTGATAGGTTCTAGGGTATTAGAATATTTGACAAAACAGAACAATTCAGGCACTACATTGTACGTGTAATATTACATAAAGACAACAGTTATTATTTCAGTCCATTCAATGGATGGTTTGACAATATTATATAATGACTTCACCAACACCACATAGTGAAGTCATCCTCTCCAACTGCCATCTCTTTAAATGTATAATTAGATTTCTTAATTTTGGGGCCAAATAAGCACTGTATGCAGAATTAGAGAACTATTGTTATTAGAAACACTGTATGGGTATTGTGTACAAGGCAGTATATGGAAACGCTTGATGTTGAGGAGCCCTACATGGAATTTTAAGGTTGAATGAGAGGATGGACTGAAATAGACTGTACCGCAAACTTTTTATTACCATGACGCCGCACCTGCTGCTACCGTGAATGTATAGTTCTGCGAACATGTCCATTTTTCTCAGACTACAAACTTTTGCTATGTGCAGTGAACATGAAATAATTTACAGTACTTAATTAATACATTAGTCTGAAAATTGCTTTTAGTACTAGGCAAATAATACAACAGACCAAGGGTAACGACCCAAATAACAAAGACTGCTCACCTCCAAGTTGGCAGACAGCATCTAGGTAGAAACTGGCAACAATTTTGGGGTCTTTGTTGGTTGGTCCAACCTTCAGCCACATGATGCGCCTGCTGTATCTACAGTGTAAAGAAAATAGTCTGTCATAAAATGTACACTTACGCTAAATTACTCATCAAAATTTGTTGTTCACAGAGACTGTCAATAAAATGTTCCTGGACTGTTGAGCTTAAATAGATTCTTTGTTGGCTTCATGAAGCTGTATAGGAAATGATACTTAATCTGAACATTTGCCATAACAAACATAAAATGTTTGTGACAGGGTTCAACTTTCGAAAAAAAATTAGAACCTGTTAAAAAAATGGTGCTTAATCAACTATCAACAGTCAAATTAAAAAACATAACTGCTACACACAAGTATGAAGAAGATAAAATGAACATACCCATCAATGCAGCCATGAATGAAGAAGCCATAAGCTCTAAGTTTATCATTCCTGTGAGGAAATTTGACCACAAAAAATTATATTTAACGCAAACAAAGACAACTTATTACCATATGAGCAAGTATACTAATACCAAGGACATTACTAATACACAGCAAATGTGCCCCATTAACATTTGTGTACATAGGTGCAACATGTACATACCCATCAATATGCCATACGTGATTTGGGCCCTGGAATACAGATAAGAAATTGGCCATAGAATGGCCAAGAGAATCAATGTGATGTTATTGCTAACATGTCAAAATTCACAAAAAAAAGATAACACAGTTGACCAAGGCCTATGGCACTATCAATAACATTGCAGCTCCCTAAAAATTAAGTAGAACATCCGCGACACCAAAATACCAAACTTTTCTGAACCTAAATTCCAGTCTTCTTCTCGGGTCATCACTGCTACACTCTTCCCCTCCAAAATTCGAGTTACAAAATACAATACATCAATGGCTTTCCAACACACCGCTATTGGAAGTGCAATGTATAAATTGCACATTTTCCAAAGGCAACTTAAATAGACCAGAGAACCCACAATCAAAGATTGGGCGCACTGGTATAAGTTTAAATGCAGAAAGGTACATATCATCTCGAATTTTGAACCCTGGGTAATTATGATTACTACCGGTAGGTTCATCTACCTACAAAAATACTATTGGATTCATAGTCTACAATCAAATGTATTTTTTACGTTTTATTTTCATATGTAATTTAACAGTAAAATGTACTACAAAAATAAACATAGTTTTTACCCGGCTGAAGTATCTTCTGCGTGCAAGACGACGCCTTCTTCTTTGGGCTGACCCCTCAGGATCTTCTTGTCTAAGTATTTGTTGGACAGTACGCCTAAAAAGCCACAGAAAGAAACATTAAGTCAGATTTACAGCTATATACTATTTCTCTACATTGCCACAATTTAATATTTCTTTTAGAATCAGATGAACTATCAACATATACACGGAGGATAAGGCAGGGCATTAACATTATTATCATATAGCCTATCCAACTGGAACAGTTATATGACACAATTTCCTTAATATTATGTTTACTCTTCTCCTGTTTAAATTTCATTGAAATCTTTTTAATTCTGTTAAGTGTATTTTCAAACAAAGGATTCAAAATAAACTATGATGCGTTGTTTGATAGATAAATACTACAAGTCTTAACACTAATACTAGTAGTGTCCTTGCCCCTGGATAATGGTCAAAAAGGGGTCGGTTATTTTAATCATCATCATCATTCTAATAATGTCACCCAGCTATATAATAATACAAATTATAGTCACCTCCTGACATTTAACCCATGATTTCTTTTAAGGCACCTCCACATCCTTCTGTAGCCAGAATGCTTATTTGGTCCCTGAAGCTCACGCTGAAAGAAAGAAAAGGGGATTCTATGACAAAAGAGTGGGGGCTCACAACCAAATGTATGTGTAATATGTCAGTGTGATATGTATTAATGGTTCATACCTTAAGTAAAATAAAAATGTTTGGAAATGTACAGGTAGTTTGAGAGTTCATACAATCAATAGAGTGCCCTTGCCTCCATAAGAATAAAATAATGAAAACTGATGTTCCTACATCCTTAAACTTTGCTGCTGCTTTGCTGTTACATGTATGTTCACAGTGTTTTCACTATCACTGCTGAACAATGAACTTATCATTACAGTTAATAATTCCTGGACTTTCTTTTTCCTGCACCTGTCGCCACCATGAATATTTAGCACAGTGAGCATGCCCATTTTTCTCAGACCGTAAACTTTTGCTACTGTGAACATAAAGTGAATTACAGTTAACTATAGTGCATTTCTTACCCGAATTGCTGCACGTACTGCCTCGTCTGGGTCAGCCCCACCGTACCTTGACAATCCCAACTTTCTGAACCTATACTTGATTTGCCTCACACTGCATAAAATAAGTACCAGTAAAGATGTTAATAAGGCCACAGCAATTCAATTTGTTGGTTCCCAGAGACAGGGCAAAAATAAAAAAAAACAGGCCTATGCATCCTTTGATAGCCCCAAATGCTACAATAGGAGCTATTAAGTCAACCTACCAAAATTTAAACATGAATTTTGAACTTTCTATCAAACCACTGCATTGATAGATGGAAAAACTGTTACAACAGCTGGGAAGACAAGAGCTTTCAACCGCTGGGGGCAAAATGTAATCATTTTGCAGTTATTTTTTTTTTGCAAATCATAAAAAACGAAGAGGTGAATCTGAGAGCCAACAAATTAAATTGGTGTGTCCTAAGCCAACATGATTATGTTAAATTAGCATAAAATAAATAATAGCGAGTTAAAAGAAAATACTTCACATGTTCATATTACAACAGAAGTGGAAATTAAATGCAGCAACCGTCATACTCATACACGGTATGAACAGTATCAAGAATGTACATGGTGTAAAATCATGATTAACGAACATAAAATCAAAACAAAAATTTTTACCAAATACAAAACTGACTCTTACTTCAGGTCAATGTTGTGAAATCTAGAAAGGAGTTCTGATATTTCTGCATATTGGTATCCTCTCCTCCAATAGTCCTCTAGAAGCTCATCAACTGAAAAAAGGATTTAAATACTAGTAAACAGCACAATTCATAAGCTATGCCATAGCTGAACTTCATGCAATTTGCAATACCGCCACCTACTACTGCCTACAAGAATGAACATTACTTGCCAACAGACTCGTTCTGCTGGTAATCTGGACATTCTCAAGTGTCGAACCGAACGTTATAGAATGAGTGCTGTACCGCACATGGTTCGTTTACTGAATACGTAATTCCATTTTAATTGTTTTTATATTGCCCTATATGATAGATAACATGTATTTTTATCCGATTTTAATGTATACTTATTTTATAATTGTTTTGATCGTTGTGTATGTAATGACTCTCGATTTTAGGTTATGTATATAATGCTCTTGTGCAGTCAATCTGTGTAATATCACATCATCAATTCAGCCTGCGGGCTGCCACTGTTGTGATATAGATGCCGACATGTCATAATAAACCATTCTACTACAATATACTACAGGGGTTTTTCTGAACAGGGGAACAAGGGCGCTGCCCTCATGTAACAAACTAGCGCCCTCATATCAATTTTCAGATTGAAGCCTAAGTCTTTTTCAAAATTATCTTTTTCCAGTAAAAATACAAAAACAACACCACATAACAATATATTCTAGCATTGCAAACTATGTTACTCTCATAAAGATTCCAAAATATTACCACAAACACGAAAATTTAGCTCTAGTAGTAAAAGTTTGAATGGAATGAACAATGTTCATTGAGAACTTGCTCAAAGACATGTAGCTAGACCTCCCTCATTTGCATACTATAGAACAGGCTCTGAAGTGAAACATGAGACCTGAGTTTGTAGCAGCTTGCATGAACCTGTTGCAATTGTGCCATGGGAAGGTTTCAGCTTGTTGCAAACCCAATGTTGTCATCTGGAGCTAATACTAATAGTAACTACTAGTTGTGTAAAAGTGTATAAAGGGTGATTTGCAGATTTTGTGTACTGTTGATTGTACTATTATATATAAAGTCTTATATTTTAAGACTTTAAGATTTATAAGGGAAATACATGTGTGCAATGCATGAATAGAAATTTGGGAAAGATATTGAAAAAAATAACCTTAAATTATTTTAGTTATTATCTATCCTTCTCCTAAGCTAAGAGGACTGTGTGAGTGAGTGTCTAAATCTTGATGATATCTCAAAAATAGCCTTTGAAGCCTTGAAGGTGTTGTAAAATCCAAGTAAACAGACCTTACAACCAGGTTATCATTATTATTACTATGTACAATAATTGTTTGTTTTCAAAGAAATATACAATGAAAGAGTTCAAATTTCCCTCCTCAAGTAGCCTCAAAATGACCCATTTCCACTTCAAATTTTCAAAGGCTTCACATGGCGGAAGGGGGGATACCCCCCTTCCGCACCAACCCCCCCTCGGTCGCTTCGCTCCCTCGCCGTGCTCCCTTATGCCAATTTTTTCTAGAAAAACCCCTGTACTAGCCAGCCACCCATGATGAACAGCCAAACCAAACCAAATTAATGGAAAATACCAACAATTATCATCTTTTCAACACAGTCACAAAGTTCCCTTTCAAAATAGTCAATTTTAGTATATTTCTACTACTACATGCTGACATGCCATAACAGGAATATTGGAAACAAATATCCAATTCCAAACTGAATTTCTCACCAGTGTCAAAATGATGGGGGAAGGGATCCTGAGCCCCAGCAGCGTGTCTGTCCATAACTCCACTTGACTGTAATCAAAGAAAAGCAATAGAAAATGAATAGTGGAATAGACCAATGTAGCCAGCTGCGGTTATACCGGCTATATATATAATTATTTCAAATTCAAATCCCAACTTGTCCAAGGCTCTGGGGAACTTTCGGTGGAAAGGCAGCCCCATTCACAGTCTGACCACAACAATTCAGACGAAAAAAACTAACCGTTACTGAACTTAGACTTAGAGTAAAAGTAGAAACACTCCCCTCCACATTCTAATTATCCGCAACGCAAAACATGTCATATCATATTCATAACAATGCAACAGACAGCATATAGGATGATACATTTGGGGAAGATACCGGTAGTTCACAACAAATTTTATAATATGAGAAGTGAGAAAGAGCAGGGTGGAAATGAATGGTCCGAAATGAATAAGAAAAGGTAAGGAAAGGTGAGACAATCTGTGCACATAAAGAATGAATTACAATGAGCTCTATGCATAAGCAACAAAATGTGGGCTACGAAAGTGTAACAAGTTTGGGTCTGCAGAAGTACAAGCAGGCTGCAACTTTAGAATGCAATGGGTAAGATTAGCTAGTGATCGCGCCAAAACAGTTATGTAACAATTTGGAGAAACTGTGTCAGTGGAAAATAGTTGGGAATTAAATTTATGTCGGAAAATATATACGTCTGTCCGCTACTCAAAACAAATACAAGCAGTTCCCAAACCAATGGAGCAGTAAATTTTTGGGTTACAAGAAACCAACAACAGTCTGTCGGACTCTGTCCACAACAATAAACACGAAAAACTACTCTAACTTAGTCAAAGTACTTAGATTAGAAACGCCGCCCCCCCCCTCCCCATTCTAACTTACAAAAACAGCCTGACGTCTCTGTCTGCATCCGTTTCAGACACAAGCTCGTGCGACAATCTACATGGCCAAAAGTTACGGTGATTCAGATGTTTATTGTGGAATAAAACACAAACAAAAATCGTACTGTACCTTTCCTCCACCTTCGTTGCTAGCAGCATGTGGTGACGTAACCTTTGACACGTAAGGGATCGTCCACTAACGTTACAGCTGTATCGGCGTGGTTGAAAATTTTGCCTCGGCGCGGTTGAAAATTGTGCCTTGGTGCGGTTGGAACCGTGTTGGAAATGTTTTCCTTCCACAGCGTCCGGTATAATATAAAATTACGTTCTGGGCACGGCGAGACTGCAGCGAATAACGTATGATGTACTTGACTGCCCTGGGAAGGAGAGTTTTCTCCGCGCAAAGCATACTGGGAAGAGCCGACCATAGTATCCTGGGGACGAGTCGATGAACGATGAAAATTTGAGTTTTGAAGGGTGAAAAAAAGTTTTGAACGATGAAAATTTGAGTTTTGAAGGGTGAAAAAAAAATTTTGAACGATGAAAATTTGAGTTTTGAAGGGTGAAAATTTGAGTTTTGAAGGGTGAAAAAAAAGTTTTGAACGATGAAAATTGGGTTTTGAAGGGTGAAAATTTGAGTTTTGAAGGGTGAAAAATTGAATTTTGAACGATGAAAAATTAAGTTTTGAAGGGTGAAAATTGGGTTTTGAACGGTGAAAACTAAGTTTTGAAGGGTGAAAAATTAAGTTTTGAACGATGAAAATTTGAGTTTTGAAGGGTGAAAATTGGGTTTTGAAGGGTGAAAATTTGAGTTTTGAAGGGTGAAAATTTGAGTTTTGAAGGATGAAAATAAGTTTTGAAGGGTGAAAATTGGGTTTTGAAGGGTGAAAATTTGAGTTTTGAACGGTGAAAATTGAGTTTTGAAGGGTGAAAATGGATTTTGAACGGTGAAAACTGACCCGATGAAGCCTTGTTGAAGTTGTACCTTTGGTCTTTCGTAGGATTGAGGATGTTAAGCCTGGCAGGAAACAACCTGACAGTGGTCAGGGCAGACTGGTTTCCAGCCTTAGGTAAACAAAGGCTGCTCGGTATGTTGGACTTGGCTGACAACCAAATCATGTTTATCGAACCAGGGGCACTTAGAGAACTCCCCCTCCTGGGGTCCCTTGTTCTCTCCAACAATCGGATCACAAGTCTGCACCTAGACCAGCTGAGAATTAAAGATTGGACCCTCGACATCTGGGGGTCTGTTTCTATAGAACTACAGGGTAATCCCTTACGCTGTACATGCGCACTGCGCTGGTTTCTCAAGTCACGTGGAGTGTTGGGTACTAGATCTGACCTCGCGATACAAACATGCCACCACCCGCAACATCTGCGAGGCACCGGCTTGAGTAACCTGGCAATGCCTGTGATAGCATCATTCCAGTGTCCGGCTCCAAAAGTGACAATCAGCACATCAAATGACGACCGGACCTTCCATTGTGAAATATGTTGGGAAGAAAGGCCTACCAAAGTTATGTGGGTGCTCCCAAATAACACAAAACTTGAAGTCACGAACATACCATTTGGCATGGAATCAACCACCATGAGTGGGCAAGTAAACAGCACGTCGTCGTTTTACATGAACCCAGAGGGATACAATTGCTGCGGCTCTAACTCTCTCAGTGCCAATGCCAGTACTTGTAACTTTGTCGGAAAGACAGTATCCTCCGTGACTGTTAATGAAAATTTTGTTGAAAAATGGCGCGGCGAAGTCATTTCCTGTACATCATTTATTTCAGAAAGGAGAGGTAGAAAAATAGTTACACATCGACATAATATATCCTTGAATGTGATCAAGACTAGGCTCTATTCTTCCATAAACACGACTGATAACGAAAACTTGACAACACTCTCTACACCACCACCTATGTCAACATTTAATGCCACTAAAGGAGATCAAATAGTTTTTCTACTGAATTCAAAACAGAATAAGAGTATTAACATCAACTTGTGGGACCTTCTTATTACGGCCTTTTTAACATCGTCTTTTGCTGCATTGGTTTGTTTTCTTGTCATTCATCATCAAGTGCAAAGAAATGTAAGAGGGTTGAACCAAAGGGAACATTTGAATCTGCAAAATCAAAGAGACACAGTTGCGAATGAAGTAGTCGATAACCAACCTCCTCAAAGCCATCATTACGAAACGATACGAGACGAACATAATGTAGATGATGTCATTACGCCATACGGACAAGCAACCCTGGCGGGGGCCTACGGAATGACAACAACAAGTACAGACGGTAAACGGGAGGTTCCCAACTTTAACCTGCACAATGTATGCACACATGGAAGCAAAGGAAACCGTTACAGTTCGGGGGACAGAAAAGAAAACAGAAAACCAGTTTCGAGCCCTGAGACAGACATTGTTTCCGACGGTATTCTGTATAAGCTACATGAAATGAACATGCAAAGTATTCATGATCAACCGATTGGTCCAAAACGATCCCGATCATTCAGCACAGGAGATGTCAACTTCTCGGTCTCAGTTCTGAATAGTGATGTTGATGAGAAGAAAGAATGTGACGTTGATGAGCGAAAAACATGGCTGTAAAGGTTCTAGTGATAATAGAAATAGTATTTTTACCTGATAATGTAAATATAGCCAAAATAGTGATATTTCTTTTTCTTCTAGACTGTGCCTGTGTTAATACCTTGCATGTACTTTAGATGCAGTTACTAAAGTAGTATTGTATATAAACGTGTAGTTTCGTCATGGCACATAATAAAGTATTCATATGGTGGAAAAGTTATTGTCTGCCCTGGATATATTTTCAAACAGTGCGCACCAGTTTCTTGACAGCATCGAAAGCCACGTGATTACATGTATTTAATATGCAACTCTGCATGCGATTTGATTGTCTGGCTTTGACGTGTTTTATATCCTTGTAAAGAAATGAGAATGAGAAAGATGCAGACAAGTGCTGCTAGACAAGAAATGACTGGGGCAAAATGATGTTTATCATTATAAAGTCTCACGAGGTAAACGCTAGAGCTACGTAATTGCGAACAAAACGTTTAAACGTGTGTTCTTCACACGTGTGCCGCGCCCATGTTTAGCGGGGGGGGGGCACAACCCGCCGTACGTGCATCTGCGTGCTGTCTGCGTGCAAAAACGTGGGCAAACGTAAGGGATCCGTGCGTGGTGAGTACCACCTCCGTACGGAATCCTACGGATTTGGCATCACTCAGATACACCGTAGCACTTTAAGTGCATGTTAAACTTTCACCCCCCGTACGAGCCAGTACGGGCGACGCGCGTTCCCCGTACGTATCGGTACGTACCGTATGTAAGCAGCACGTGTAGGTACGGCCTGCATACGGTAAAGTGGCAATCGCTCAGGGATCGTACGTTGTAAGCACGTACAACCAAGCTTGCGCAACGAACGATGCACGCAACCGCTCACGGCCAGGCGTGTTGTGCAGGCAACTGATTTTGTGTCACCAGCAGGACTGGAGTCTTATTTGTCTCCGATTTTTCCTCTGAAATCCTCAAAAACGCAGGAAATGCCATTTCAGAAAGGTGAATTTTCAAACATTTCTATGGGAACATGCCCCCGCACCCCCCTACACACAGACTTTGCTGTTAGCCCAATATCCATAAAAGCATGGTTTGGAATTTCCCTTAAGCGTGGTTTGGAATTTCCCTTCCCTCCCATTACCAGTAAACAGAATAACACACTCTCTGTGTTTACGACTTGTTTGGGTTTTCAAACTCGCCAAAACGGTCGTATCTCCATCCTTACCAATTATGGAGCCGTGTTCTCTCAAATTTCTAAACTGTAAAATGTAAATCATGTGTATTTGGAACGCAAATGTGTTTGGTAAGCAGAGACTAGCTGGAAACACGTAATAATGTGAACAATTAACTATGCGGTTTCTTTGGCTTCAAACAAGACATCACCATCATTTATTTCAAATGATCAATCAACTTTTTCTCCCAATTTACGTTTCAAGGCTTCCTGAAAGTATACAATCAGGGCCATCAAATATCAATCTGTATAGCCGGTATAACCGCCCTTCAGCGTAACACACCAGCTTTGCAGACAAGCGGCGGGGCGGCAAGCTGGCTATATTACACCGAACGACCTGTTACACCCAATCTTTGCACATTTAATTGCAGGAGTTGTTTAACGCTTTTAAGTGATGATGCCCCAACTGTACTTGGTGGCAACATGTTCCACTCTACGAAGTTCTTGGAAAATACGAGTCTAACTAGGTGGACAAGCAATTACGGAAAGTGACTTCTGTAGCACCATAAATGGTCCATGTAGCAGGGTCTTTATGGTTAAGTGTCCCACACTCGCTAAGGACCCACATATACATTGTATAGCATTAAAGACAAGTACCATGAACCGTTTGTTTGAACAAATGACACTGTAAATCTCCGAAATATTAAACATTAAGTTGCAGACGTGTCCTATCCCTTATCATTGTATAATCAAAGTATATGTATATTGATATCAGAAAGGATGGTTGACAATGTGACCTATAAATCATGATTCTTCATAATCGTAAAAATTGCCCATGTAACAGAAACTTTAATGTTATCGATACAATATTTATGGGTTCACCACACCACGAAGTGGTGGTGAACCCATATTGCTTTTTCTGATGTTTCTTCTCCTTCTCCTGCCATTTTTTAAATGGATTCAGCTTCTTCATTTTAGGGCCCAAGGTCCTGAAATTTGGTATGGAGGTACAGTGGGCAAATACCCCTAGGAGTTTTTTAAATTATTGTGATACAGGCTTTTAGAATGGTTTTATTTGAGTTTTTTGGCTGTGTTATAGCAAATGTATTACTGTGTTAGTGTGCCTTGTTTACCACGTTTGGGCATGAGTCATCACAATGGAATGCAGGGCATCAACCAATAGGCATGCAGCTTTCCTCTATACTTCTTGCTGATTGGCTGTTGGGATTTAACTTGATTAACACCTGCACAGAAGCATTTCCATACTGACAGTATGTCTGTATTCAAGTGTTTTGGTAGGTATTTCAAGCTTTCCTGCTCCAGCAGTTAGGAATGGCGGGCAGTGGTACGTGTTTTTTTTTATTTCGAAAAATCAACAGTTTGCATTATGCAATTAAAAATCCTAACCAATAAAGTAGGGAATAGCTATCCAACTGTTGTTTTAGTTGTATTTTACTTCATATTATAGTTATATCAATGTAAATCATTGTTTTCCCTTGTGTTTCTCATTCTTTCCCTGCCAAGTCGTAAAATGTGGTGAACCCATCGCTGTATTTGCTCCAAAGCAAATATTGGCCTTTCTAGTCCTTATGGAGTTTATATTCACACTTAAAAAGCGTGACCTTTTTTTCTTAAGGATGTAGACTTTCTTCTTGATCGGTTAAAGACTTGTGGTGTGGTTGTAGATGAATATACTGATG